GATAATTATTTTTGCATCGGAAATATAAGAGGTGGTACTATACTATACTAATCTCATTTATATCCGATCATTGGATCATGAGACATATATATGTATATATATATATATTTTTTTATATGAGAATTGAAGTCGGGTTTTCTTGCTAAAAATTACTTGTTTAAATGAAAATTTTTAAAATTTCCAACAGCCCGATTTTTGATTTTTATTTGTTTATATTAGATTTCTGCAGTGTAAAGTGCAGAAAAAGTAGCAATTTTGAAGAAGATCGATTCTCCTGTTCTAGTTAATAAAATTTACATAATAAAAACTATTTGAAAACAAGTGTAGGGTTCTCCGAAAACGAAAAAAAACAATTAAAGAAAAAAAAGTTTGAAATGTATTAAAAAATGTTCACCAAAAGTATTTTTTTGTTTTTCGTTTTTATAAAAATTTTGGGTATGCAGTTTTATAGATCATTAAACTTAGCATAATAAAGTACATACCCAAAATTTTTATAAAACCAAAAAAAAAAATTACTTTTGGTGAAAATTTTTTTTATAACATTTCAAATTATTGTTTTGTTATTTTAAAAATTCTTGAATAAAATTTCAAATTATTATTATTTTTGTTCGCAGAATCGATCTTCTTCAAAATTGCCACTTTTTCTGCACTTTGCACTAAAAGTTTTATAAAAGCAAATATTAAATCAAAAAGCGGGCTCAAGTCTCTTGCAAATTGTATAAGCTTTGATAAAATAAAGTAATCAAATTAGCTGAGAAATGAAAGGTTCAGTAAATTGTGAACATTAAATTCCATTTATTAACCACTGTGTGGCAGTCTAATGTACATGAAAGTGTGTGAAAGTAGGGGTGTGGTGCAAAAACACTATACGCAATAAGGCCATATGGTATTAGTTCCATTTTGTAAAAAAGTCATCTTCAAAATTTTTAACACCACACTGTTTTGTGGGCCGCATGTTTTCAGTTATGTATTTGACTGGCATCAATGAACGCCGTTTGACCTCAATAATACGAATTTTGGAGCGGAACCTAACTTTCTTTTAACATTTCAAGAGTTATCTACAAACAAGACACGACTATAAGTGGATGAAAGGGTCACATTTAACACTGCATTTGTAGTTCCTGTTACCCTTAAATTATGAAAACTAACTGCTAACACACGACTGCAAAAGGCCCGATGGCTTTCACAAAAAATTCCTTTCCGTATTCTACATATGTACATATCGACACCTCGATCGTGCTAAGTTATCTTAGACTTACAGCCCTATTCGCGTGCAATGACAAAACTCGCCGCTATAACTATTGTCATGTTTATAATCAACTAGCCAATTCCCGCTTGCTTCGCGGCACCTAATAACGAATTTTGCGTGGGCCAATGCAAAAAAAGCGTTTAAATGCAAAAACGGACTGTAGAGTATAAAAGTTCAAACAACTAAATAACAGAATCCTCCTCCTACGTAGGCCAAAAATAGTAGCGCTTTGATGCCATATGGAATACTAATTCCCTTCGATGTCATGAGTTTTGCCGATGGTGAAAAGTTTTCCCGTACATTGGCGAAATGAGTCGTGTGGTCTCTTGAATATCGTTTAAATGAAACCATTGATATACCAAACATATTCCTTCCTAGACGGATGTGGTCAATTCGCCACTTTTACAATTCGTCTTAATATTTATGAACAGGATTGTTTGAGTCTTACTGCGGCAATGACGGCCGCTCCGAGCAATTCCGTTGATTGGGGTTAGTATGTATGCAAGATCGAATTAAGGGTGTAAGAGGGCGTCAGGCAAAGGTGCTCTTACACAATTTTATTTAGCCATCTAAAAAGTAAGTTCACATAAAATAAACATAAGGCCAAAGCATACAAAATTTATGGGGTTTCTATATATTACGGCTGCAGCGTCATCGATGGGTCCCTTTTCTGCAATACCATTGCTTATCATGAAATGAATACGCATTATGAATTTCAGCTAGGTTGTATTAAAAATAAGGATTTTCTAAATATCTCGCCTCCAGCAGATCCATTTGTTGCGAACGAAGTCATCATACAGGAGGCTCACATTTCGAATTTGAACGATATCGGCCAATAAATAGCCACCGACAATTTGACTGAACTCTATCCAGTAGTTTTTGGGTTCAGTCCGAACAACAAAAACAGCTAACATTTTATGTATATAGATAAATATGTATGTAGATAGGACAGTCTATAACGAAACTCTTAAAAATTAAAATTTCATACTTTGTGCAAAATTTAAAAAAATTCTTCAAAATTTGTTTTTGTTATTTTTATGGCTTTTATAACAATTATATTCAACAATTTTTATGAGCTCGAGGCCGTAAAAATAACAAAAACAAATAACTTAAGGGCGAGCACACCTAAAAAGTTAAACATTCTAATAATAGAAATATTAACAAAAACCAACAAAACCAACAACCACATTATCAAGTGAATTGCAGCGGAATAACTGCGCTTGATTGTAGTTGGCTTAGCAAAGTGAAATGGTGGAAAATAAGCAACAAGAATTAACAAGACAAACTTAACACAGTGCGTAGGCAACTGGCTGAGTCAGTGGTGATCGTCGGTTCGAATCCTACTGAAAGAAGTCTGATGAGGAAATGTGGTGATTTCCGAAATAGCTATCACTTCTACCATTTTTTCAAATTATTGTTGCTTTCCCACAATAAGTTTTCACTGGAAACGGCCTCGGGCTCATAAAAATTGTTGAATATAATTCTTCAAAATTTTCACGCAAAAATTTTACCCTTTCCCAAAAATTAAAAAGTGATGAAGTCTAGAAAAAATAAGTCTAATGAGGAGATGTGGTGATCTCCGAAATAGCTGCTATAACTTCTACCGACCCCCTTTTCCAATAGCTTCCAGTTTTCGCCAAAAGTAAGGTATTTACAATTTATGAATCCGTGGCAAGTTTCAGTTCTCCAGCGTAGTTGGTTTAAGAGATATATTGGTGCCCTCAAAAAAGGGATTTCAACATTTTATTGTCACGTAGGTAGATGTGTAGATATCCATCATTCTCCCACTGTATAAGAACGTTAGGAATATTCCTACCCCAGCGCACCCTATCGTGTAATTTTTTAGTCCAAATATTCCTTTTCAGTTGGCTAAAAAATTGTCTAAATATGAGCCAAATCTGCAACTAAATGCAGTTTTTAGGAATATCCCGGTGCCAGCGACACCTGGCGGTTAAATTTTTAGTCGAAATATTTGTCTTCAAGGTGCTGACATATGTTTCAAATATGAACGAAATCCGTCCAGCCGTTTGGTAATTTAGTGACATACAATATACGGAAAACTCTATGATATTGTGAAATCGCGACGTCTCAACTTTCTTAATTTTTTGGCAACAATAACAAAAAGTTGTGAATTTTGTATAATCGAAAAACCTTCCACATAGAAGATCCAAAATAGTACTTTTTACATAATTGAAATTGGTTCAGCCGTTTGATCAGGCATCGAGGTCATACGAAAGAAATTTCATTTTTATATATATAGATACATATATAAAAGTCAAAAGAAAAAGTGTGCCTAATATTTTTGAGGAGAAAACAACTGACCAGTTTTGCTCGTTATTTTTTAATAGCCGATAATTCATTGTCGAACACTTTACTAGAATTTTTTTTTTTAATTTTTCTTTAGATTTTTCCAGGATTTTTTTTCGTAACATCTTATTATACAGTTACCAACATGCCTCGGGATGGGCTCGGTTCAACGGTGTATTTTCATTTCAGCTTTGCTTTTTGTGAATGCTTGTAAAAAAAGTATATATGAGAATTTTGCATTTCCTGTTTGACTTAAAAATAAAAGGCAAAACAAATCGCTAAAAATAGTAAAATACATTGAATTGCTGGCTCGTTATTTAAAAATTCATGCCCAGTACGGTCTGTGACGAAAATAAATAAAAAATCATGCACAATTTGTTATATAACGAGTGCGACGCCAAATGTCTCTTGCAATTATTTATGACTGTGAATACATGACTTCGCAAAGAATCGTGCAGTTTTCGACAGGAAGTTGTGTAATCGGTAGTAAAATAAAAAAAAAATCAAAGCGACAATCAAAAGCCATACGTCAACCAGAATATGTCAAAAACTTGTGCATTCACCAAGTGGCAGTTGGTCAAGTGAAACTAACTCGAAAAATTGGTAAAACATAATAGTTCGTTTTTACCATTGTACGTATGTATGTATGGTAGGTACTTTTTAAAATAATTGTTTTTTTTTATTATTTTTTTTTTTTTGGTATGCGTATTTCGACTCAGCGAGTGAAATGAC